TCCCAATTCTATGGCTTTCCAGTTCAATCCCTCACTTCCACGTCCATTATTTGGACCTGGACATCCTGCTCCATATGGATTTGGTTCATCTCACCAGAGTTCTGCAGTTCCGCCCCCTAGGTTACACACATCAACACAAATTATGCCGGGCACATATATGCCTCCTGCTTATTCTGTAGGCCAAACTGGTCCTCCAAGGAATCTTTCTGCTTCTGCATCTCCATTTTCAACTTCCTCTCCTTTAGTAGGTCATCAGCCAACTTTAGCAGGTTCTTCCAGGCACCCGCCTCCTCAACTAGCTGAGGGAGGCATGACTCCTCCATCGACCTCCTCTGGATGGGCAATGCCTTCTGCTTCTGCTCCACAATCTCTTCTTTCTGGTAGCTTTCCTACAATGGGTTCACAAATGCGGTCTTCCTCACCCATGCCTTCTCAGGGCGTTGCACTATCACCACAAACACAACTATTTCATCCATCCACAAATAATGCATTAAGACCAGTGCAAAATTCTCTACCTCCATCCTCTGCACCTCATGCACCAAGTTTTACCCCCCTTAAACATATGGGTCAAATAGCTCCAGGGCTAACACTTCCGGGTTCCAGTGGGTTCACTTTCCAACCTCAACGACCACACGTGGCACCATCGCAGTCTCTCCCTGGACCAGGCTTGCAATTTTCATCTCAAAGACCTACATCAGCACCATTGCCTCCTGCACCACAAGGGCCATCATTCCGTCCAGCATTGCAAAATACGATGCAGCAGCCTGTCAGACAAAACTTCCCAGGTCCACCATTTGGTAATCAGATGGGCCCACATCCTGGCCACTTTGGGCCTCCAAACCCAAATCAACACATGGGTCCCAGACACCTTGGTCCAGTTCCTCAGGCTCCAAATGCCGGTGGTCCTTACCCTCCTAGAGTAGGGCATTCAGCTCAATATCAGCAAAGTTATCCTGCCCCTCCCCTGAGTCGGCCTGGAGGCAATTTTCCTGCAAATATGCGCCCCAGCCCATCTGGCAGACCACAAGTTTATGATCCTTTTTCTCCTACTTCTATCTCTGCTCCTCGGGCTCAGGGAAACAACAATGGGGTTGCCAGAAAGCAGGACTCAGATCCTGAATACGAGGACCTGATGGCATCTGTTGGGGTCAAATAACCACAAATTCTGCACCTACGAGTTCCTGGTTATGCTGCATGGAGTGCTTACAGCTGGAACAAATAAGATGGCTCGTGTAGGATTCTAGATCTGCTTCTTTCTTTCTTTTAGGCACACTTCATCTATAAATGGAGAACTTGTTTAGCGTGTTGATTACAATTGCTTAATTTTCTTGAGACGGCAATCAATCTACATGATGATGTAATACCCAAACAGTTGGCTGAAAGGAATTACTTTAGGCATTTTGGCAGGGTTATCTGATGTTTTCCCCCTTTGTTAATCTATTGGAAAACAGAGTTGGGTTTCATTTGTTTAACAAAGTTTTTGTGGAGGTTAGTCCATCTAGGTGTAGATAATCAGCATATTAGTGGTCAAAAAAATTTATCCCACCATTTTAGCACAAAATATAATCAAAATAACACTTGCATGATTGTTGACACTGTATTATACGAAGTATGCTTTTTATAATCTGGGGGGATAAAACACTTTCATTCAACACGGAACTTCTGATCCTTAGACAGAACAGGTTGCTGCAGTCTGGAAACAAAGCATGAGGATAATGAAAATAAGGTTGAGCCGAGTTGCAAATGTAAACCATGTCAAGTCATTATTTACAAAGTTAGTTGCCTAGCTATAGAGAGGAAAATCAAACAGACGGGCTAGATCTGAGGACTTTCTCTAATTTTTCCGCTTTGGCATAATCCTTCTCTGTTAGAGGTCCGGCAGGAAATGGAGTTATCTCGACAATGAGATGTGGTGTTGGGAGCTCATCAAATAGTGCTCTAACATTGTTGCAACACACACTTTCTCCATGTGCACTCTCCCTTCTAATCTGGCAGCCCTGTAACACAAGAAATCTAGTGATAAGGAAACCTGTTTTATACATATGTACCTTGTGTCCACTGGGATTTCTAATGTTAGTTATGTATGAAGAAGTTGTTTAATTTTTGTTGTAAAGTATTTCTGTTCCTTGTACCTTATGTGAAGAGGCATCTACAAAGTGATCATCCTCAGAGAGCAAGGACGCAATAGCTTTAAGAAGTCGTCGCCCTTCTGGCTTGGAAGGTATCCTATAGTTCCTCCTTAGTGTTCCCTTTGTTGTAGGATGCCATTTGCTCACCAACTTTCGCTTGTCAGCAGCTTCTTTGTCTAGTAAATGAAGAAATTGGACACAATTATTCCCTTGATCAAACTTGTGGAAAATACGTGCAACTTTAAATATTTAGATAGATAGCTAATGGCACAAAAGAAGTTGTATGTTGAACTTAAACTGGCATGAATTAAGTTCAATTATTCACCAATTATGATCATAAATCAGGAAATTCATTTAGGGTTTAAAGGGGTACTAAGATTCCTGTCCTTCTCCTAGCCTTCAATGCCATGTCCAAGGTTAGTTGCTGAATACATTTCAATGATCTTTTCAAATACGTTTTAGTTGCTCAATTCCACAGGCTAAGAATGAATTTTGATTGTTCTACATCAATGAGCTGAAGACAAATAACAACTTCAAGGAACAAATTCGAAAATCGAAGTTGGACATTATCGAAATTGGAAGCAACCTCTCATCAACAGGCAACAATATTGTCAATTTAGCTTTGCTGCATCCATTTTAGTCACAGAACAAAGGTTTGGATAAAAAGTGAACAAACCTTTATTAAGCAACTGCAATTGCACACTCTTATTCAGCCTAACTACTAATCAGTAAGTATCCTTTAACCCTTTTCACATACCACTTTCAGAGCAATGAGAAAACTTCAAGTTAACAATATTAAGCACTATGTTTTTCCATCATATACTAGTATAACATTTTCATGCCAAAAAAAGATAACAACTTTATACAAAAATCAGTGAAAATACACACACCTGGATTCTTTTGGAACTTTTCCAACCATTTAGAGAATCCCAAATCAGCACCATCATCATCATGACTAATTTCAGCATCTAAACCTGAAATTAGTGAAATCCCAATGTACCCATCAATTAAAATTGTACATAACCAACAAAAAATCATAAAAATTCTAAATAGAGAAAATAAACCCAAATTTAATAACCTGAAAGTAGAGGGTTCGATTGAGATCCAGCTAAACCAGTCTTCAAAAGAGCATAAAATACACAAAGTCTACCGGCCCACAAAATAGGGTTCTCAAGCAAAGAAGCACAAATTGCAATTGTATTATTTTTTTTACAATAAGGTTTGGAATTGATTAAATATTTGAGGGTTAATGTGTGTCCAATTGGAAATCCATGAAGAAAGGATTTGGGAAGCAAAGTAGTAGTACTAGTATTAGTAGAAGCAACAGAAAACGGGTTGTGATTGTATAACTTGAAATGGGTTGATTGCAAAGATGAGGTGGTCTGTACTAATGGAAACGCCATTGTTGTTTTCTCTCTCTTCTCAAAATTTAATTGATAATGGCTGATTTTAAAGGAACCAATTTTATGATTAAAGAGGATATTCAATTTGGATCGATTTGACCTTGGTGGGCCTTGAGGATACTATGAAATAGTGGATATTATTATTTATTTATTTTTAAATAAAATATTAGATAAATTCATAAATTATGATTATTAATACAATCTCTGAAGAGGAGAGAGAAGGCTAAGAGGAGGGTGAATCCCTACCATTGTGCATGCTATTAGGTTGGATGAGAAATTCTAAAATAAACTTCATCGGTACTAAATAGTATTTATAGTAGTATTTTTTAGTACCTACAAGAGATATATTTGTATCAATATAACAAATCTGTCAAAATTATAATAATAATACATAACAAATATTCTTGTTTATATTAATAATTTATATAGAAATATGTTGGTATACCAACAGAACACAACTAAGTACTAAGGGAGTTTATTATAGTCATATATGACTTTGGTTAATATAGGTTAGAATTTCTTATGGGAAATCAAATAAAATAAGTAGGTTTTTTTTTTTTTCTTTTTTTTTTGAGTTAAATAGACAAATAATATTTTATTTTTTGGTTTTAATGTGAAGTTAGTACAATGGAACCCCTTTGTCAATCCATATAGAAAACACGAGTCCATCGATTTCAAGTGGTGAATAATTCGAGTAATGATTTACAAATCAAAGCTTCAATGATTTCCATTGGTTAAGAGGTTGTATTTATGTTTAACCTGTGTTTAATGTTGTTATAATTTTGCTATCATTATTGATTGATTGATTGGTTGGTTGGTTGATGACAAACTTAAAAATTCATTTATGTGAATTAAAACCAAATTTCAACCCTTATTAAATATTACCTTGTATGAATATGGTAAATCCAACATAAGACTTGATCCATAGTTTAAAGGTACTTTATAATTTATATATACATGATTCAACCTAATAATAACCTTGCTACGAAATATATAAGAACTTGATCGGACTTGAAAATAACAAGAAGTCAAACTTGATGGAGCAATAATTACTCAATCTTAATTTTTGAAATTTGATACAATGACAAAATCTTGATGATTTTATAGTTTCCAATGCAATTTCATATTATTCCAAGATCTTTGTATTTAAGGCATGTAATAAAAAGATTTGTTATACTATATTACTGATTTACGAGATATTTACTTTCTTAATCAATTAGTTTTGACAAAGATTTTACCAATCCCATTGATTAGCTTCACACTATATACAAACACATTATATATATATAAATGTGCACAGAAGAAGCAAGCAATACAAACGAAAGAGTAAAAAAAAAAAAAAAAGATTAAGATGAATTATTCTAACAACCTTTGTAATTGTTACGGGGTCATGTTGGTATTATTATTAATTTTTGTAGTGACTATACACTCGAGAGCATCATGCCACCCAGACGACATAAAGGTGCTGATGCAAATAAAAGATGACTTCATCGGCGTGTACCCCTTCTCAGGATGGAACGGCGACGACTGCTGTAATTGGGATGTTGTTACTTGCGGCGACGATGTAAGAAGTGAAGGCGGAAGCAGAATCACGGGGTTCCATCTAACTGGTGAATTCGATGGCAATATAGCAAATGTATCGGGTGAAATTCCTCGGGTGATTGGTGATCTTCCATTCCTGGAGGTTCTTGATTTCGATTACCTGCCAAAGCTTACGGGTTCAATCCCTGAAACTACCGCATACCTCTCTAATCTCGAGCTTATTGAACTGGATCACGTTAACCTCACTGGACCTATCCCTGAATTCTTAAGCCAGATTAAGACTCTGCAATCCATTCAGTTTCTCAATTGCGGTTTATCAGGGACTATTCCCTCCTCTTTGTCCCTCCTTCCCAACCTTGGGAGTACTTATTCTTAGTGGGTACGTACCTCTCCACCTATTTGTTACATATTAATTGCAATAAAAGGTTATTATTTTTTTATTTTTTTTTTGAGTGTATATGTGAGGCTAGGCCTTAGAAGAGAAAATAAACGGAGTAAAATGCTATTATTTGTGAGACATAAAAAATTTCTTTTATTACAATTAACAGAGTTTACGGAGGTAGCGTTTATTATAGTTTTTAAACGATTTGAGGTTGTGAGTTGGGATATCCTTGGGACATTGAGTCATTGACATGACTCGTTATTGAAAATAGGGGTCTCATATCACAACTTCAAACTTAGGCTATTTCTCACAGCTTTTGCAATACTTGTACAATGTTTTTTCACGGATCAAAGTCCACGGTCCATTTGAAAGTTTTCCTCACTTTAGATTGTTTTTGATCGGTTTGAGGTATTTTATCATTGTTAAATTATTTATCACCGCATTTTATTTTTCACAATTTTTACACTCGCTATGTGTTTTAATAATTGTTACACTTCAATCGGTATATGGTTTTAGACAATTTAATTGACTTAAATAAAATAAGAGGTTAGAGGGGTATTAGTATTAAAAAATTGTAAAAGAAAGATAGTAGTATTTTATTTTAAAAATAATAATTTAAGAAATCAATTTCACAAAGTTGCACTGTACCATTGTCATTATTTGTAGCCCACATGTGCATAAAACAAAAGTTATACGAGTACCTGTATGTATTTAGTAGTTTTATATTACAATGTACTACTCATTATATGTTGATTGTAACAAACACAAAATATATAAGTATTAACCTTGTGTTGTTTGTCTATATTAATTTCAGACTCAACCTAAGTGGTTCAATTCCTGAAAGTTTTGGATCATTTAAGAGTGAGCTTGGACTATTAAGACTTGATGCGAACGGCCTATCTGGTACAATCCCAAAGTCGTTGGGTCAAGCAAATATAGACCAGTTATATTTGAACCACAACCAATTCACAGGAGATGCATCGTTTTTGTTCACAAGTGATAAACCAATGGAGCGAGTCATCCTTAGTGATAATCTTTTCAAGTTCAATTTCAGCCAAGTCGACCTACCTTGGAGGTTGAACTATATAGACATGTCTTACAACGAGTTATATGGCTCGCTTCCCAGACGATTAGGACAACTTTGACAATTGAGATATGTCAATTTCCGCAACAACCAACTATGTGGTAAGTTCCCCAAAGGCCGTCGCCTGAAGCAGTTTAGCCCTGTTGGTTTTACCAATAACAAGTGCCTTTGTGATGCCCCGGGATTACCCCCTTGCAACAAGTAGTTGCCCTGGCTTAGTTGTGTGTACCGTGCACTCTTAATTAGTCATGTTACGTACTATCACTTATTTCAGTAATTAGTGTGTGCCGTGCACTTTTTAAGTCAAACATTACTTTTACTTGATATGCCTCATGCTTCCTGGCTTTGAATAATAAAAATTTGCCTTTTGTGTCAAAAATCAATTACTTCTTTTTTGACTTACATGTTATAGTTATGTTAATTTGTCAGTTGTCACATTTATATTTACATTTACATCCTATAATTTGAACTTTTGCTTGGTCTCAATTTTGACCAAAACAATAGGAAATGATTAATTATTGCCTAATATAGAAAGGCTAATTTAGGAAGGAAACTATAGAGAATATTTACAAGTGAGGTTACTGAGGTATGTAACCGCATAATTGGAAATAGTAGAATCATCAATGCTTGTGGCTCTTTCAACATTAAATCTGCTTATAATTCAACTTTGCCTTTTGAGGTATTTACCTTTTGCTTTAAAAGAATGATTGTGATGATTGATATTCCACAATATATAGCTAAGTTGAATTGGGCTTGGGCCCAAAGAAAAAAACAGCAGTCTTTATAATTACATGAAACCAATAGTTCAATCAACATGACTTTTTATTACCATAGAAATTTCAGAAAGCATACAACAACTGTACAAGTAATACATTGTATAATTGCATTAGTATTTAGTATAATAATAATAAATCTAATTAAGATATAAATTTGAGTTTATTAGGTCAGGGTAAAAAGGGACTCCGGTAGGAATCCACTCCGTACCGTCAATGAAATTTCTTACTGTCCACCTTTGGGCTTCCTTTGGAGTTATTGAGATTTTGCACCCGGGGCATTTTATTCTCGCACTAGTACTACTCCCTGGCCCTCTATTCTTGTATTCATCATAATAAGTGTTGTTCAAGGTTGTGATGTTGCCTTCCCAAGGCAACCAACCTTCGGAATTGATGACCTTATCCAAATAGCTTTCCATCACTATTGTAGTAGAATACGACTTCCATGGTCCCGTTTTTTCAGGCAATTTGGGATCCGTACTAATAGTACAATTTTGAATGACTATCCCACTAGTGTCATTCATTTCAGCCCTTCCTTGCGCCGTTATAACATCTTGTTGACCGGTTATGGGAGTGCGCAAGAATAGGTTACAGTTCTGTAGGATTGCATGAGAATATCCAAACACAAAATCTATCGTCCCGTAGATACTGCATCCTCGAAAAAAATGCCTATTTATTTGGGTAAAGAGAGTGTCTTGGTAGCCGTCTAAGGTACAATTGTATAACACCGTTTTGTCGGCCACACTCCTAATTGCAACCGCCGGTCCAGCTCCTGGGCCAGCACTGTTAACAAAGGATTTATGTTTGGCCACAAACCCAACACCTTCTACGCCTATAATGAAATTGAAAAACAAACATTTTTCATTGTTAAAATGAAAATACTCTTGTCTTTCATAGGTACTGTAATTAATTCCATTAATAATTAGGAAATCCTACTCTGCGTACTAAATAGTAAACATTTATGCAACTCTTCTAAGAAGCCCATATCATTCATAGTCATGATTCAATAATAACAGAAAGGTTTACTAGCCCATTAAAAAGCCCATAATATACTTAGACCAATTAGATTTATTTTCAGCAAATTGGGCTTGTTGCCAAGAGTTTTAACTTAAACTCATAATAAGTATAAACCCATTTCTGAAGCCCAAAATTTAACTCTACATTGTACATTCCAAATAATTGAATAACTCTCTAGCCATCATTAAAGTATATAATCATCAATTAATGTAATTGACATTTGACACACAAAACACAGTAAAGATTTTATTTCCTATAAAATAAAGGAAATTCTAACTAATAAGTTCGATATTATTAATCATGCAATTATAATATATTAGGCTAATGTAACACAAAAATATAAGCGCAAAAAGGATGAACTATGTTACCGAATGTAGCCGAATCCGTTGTACTCTGATTGGTCAAGCTACCTCCATTGTAGGTGATAGAGGTCCTCTTCTTGGCATCCCATTGCCCAAGTAGTACAATATTAGTTTTTTCCTTCGGCACAATTACTTGCTCATGATAACTAGCATCTGTCAACTTGATGTAAGTTGGAGATGTGCTATAGTTTGGACATGCATTCAAGGCCATAGTTATAGTTTTGTGACTTCCTGGCACCCGAAATACTATTTGACCTCCCACTATACAACTCATAATAAGTAGTCTTAGTAGTGGTTTTAGTAGTAGAAAGAAGGTTTTGTTTAGTTTTATTACTTTGAAATAAGGCATTTTGAAGAGAATGATAATTGCAAAGGATAACGGTAGTAAGAAATGTATAGGATGATTATCAAAGTGTTAGTGTGTAGTGTATATATACACTACATTTTAAACACAAATAAAAGATAAAATATATTCTTAGACAAAAATATTTAAGGAACTATAGGTTGTTGATACTAACACTTCCTACAAAATACATTTCCTACAAATAATTTGTTACAATTATAAACCGTACCATTTAATTTCACACTAGCCCATCATTATTGATGCTATATTCGTATGTTTATTGTTCAATCCAATTCTGTTGGACCATCAATGTATTTTAGTCCATTAGCTATTTGTTGGTCCATTACTCAAAGTACTTGGACTATGCTAATGGTAGTATACTACCAATTAGGGGTGATAATCGAGTTGAGCAGTTCGTGAGCAAGTCGGACTTGACACGGTCAAAGCTCAAAACTCGGCTCGAGTTGGCTCGACTCGAATTCGACTCAACTCGATATGTTAACGAGCACGAGTTGAGCAAGCTCTAACTCGACTTGATAAGCTCGTGAGCAACTCGATAATATATTTTATTAATATAGAATTTACAAAGTTATTACCATGAATAAATTTGACACTTAATAAGAGTTAACTTATATTATCAAAAAAGAAAGAGTAAATCTTTAATAATAAATAAAAGAAAACTATATAAAGTGAACAAAAACAATAAAGGCCTATAATTTTAGAAGGACTAAAACTTTAACGAGCAGATCGTGAGCTACTACTCGACTCGACTCGAAACTTTAACGAGCACGAATCGAGCAGGTTTTATTAGCTCGAAAGTTTAACGAGCACGAATCGAGCAGGTTTTATTAGCTCGAAACTTTAACGAGCACGAGTTGAGCACATAAAAAAGTTTTTGAGTCTAGTCAAGCACCCCTTAGCTCGTGATCGACTCTTGACTCACTCGATTAGCACCCCTACTACTAATATATTTGAGCATGCTAAGATTGCTAACCACTTAGCAAGTTGCTTAAGTTTAACCTATTAAAGACTCATATAAATTGCTAATTGTATAATTCGTAGATATATATAATCAAAACTATAATAAGAGAGCATAATAGGTGTAACTTGTAAGAAAAGACATACATACATGTAATATAGGATAGCTATAGTGGTTTTATTTGTTTTAGATGAACAATAATATATACTTCGTATAATAGTTGTAAGAAAAGCAGGATAAATAGCCTATATGTATCGTAAAATGCAATAAGAGAAAGTAATGTATAGTTTTATTTCCTTATGTAGAGTACAATGCAATTGAAGAAAATTATATATAGTATTATGTAGAATACAATTCAACATAAGAGCAAATAATAGTTGTAGCTTGTAAGAGAAGAACACAAAATAACTATATAAATATCAAAATATGCCCTTTT